GTGTGTGTGTGTGTGTGTGTGCGCGCGCGCATGTGGCTTTGTCAGGGGTTCCCCATGAACCAGGGCCCGTGGCGGCCGTGTCGGGCCGCCGCCTGCCCTCGGGCCCTCACCCATATTTCAAAGTCACCCCAAAAACTTTGGAGCGCCGAAACGGGATGAGGTGATGAAGCAAGGCCAAACTGCGACCGGCACGCGCTTGATTGCATCAATCGGCCGGCACGGTAACGTGTGTGTGAACGGGCCGATTCTCGGCCGGGCCCCTTTTTGACTTGTTGACGCTAATCGGCATGAGAAAATATGAAAAGCTTCTATTGTCATACAAAATGGTTTGTAGGATGTCATGTTTTATATTGGCTCCAAACATCGGTTCTCGGCCTCGATAACCACTAATAATCGGTATCATCTAGTCCCGTGACCTTTGCGTCCTGTGTTTTGGCTGCCAGAGTGTGATGGAAAGCGGCGAGGTGGCCGCTTCGCCTCTGGCGAGCTCCGCCCTCCCCTGCACGCCTCGTTCGGCCATCAGACCGCTTAGCGCCACCTACAGGAACTCGGCCAGTGACTACCAGGTGCGCTTGCAAGTCACCATGCTACGACGTGTGTGTACATATGTAAAATTGTGTGTGCGTTCATTATTTCTGGGTCTGCATACGTGTGTGCGTGCCTGCCTCCATGTAGGTGGTGACCGACAGACACACACCCAGGAAGGACGACAGCTTCGTCTCCAAGGCCATGGAGTACATGTTTGGATGGTGAAATCACTGGTCACCTGCTGCTGACTGGATAAGGAGTGTGTGTGTGTGTGTGTGTGTGTGTGTGTGTGTGTGTGTGTGTGTGTGTGTGAGAGAGAGACCTTGCCTCTTGGCCAGTCTCACTTGTTTTTTTTTATATGTGTCAATAAAGTTTGTACATAAGATGACGGCGCTGAAGTGTTTTTGTGGTGGCCACCAGGAGGTGCTGTTGGCCCCGCAGGAAGTCCCGTTGCCAAGTACTGCAGTCATTTTACCCAATAAGCAGCCCGATACACTTGAACGCCAATAGTATGCAAATATTGAAGCATATTTTGACAAATTTAATGTATCAGTCAACAGATAAATTCTCTCTGGTCGCC